ATGATGATATGTGATACTCACAGTTGGTATTTCTCTCCGATTTCGGTAATAGGGAATTGCATTGAGTAAGCGGAGAAATGGCCGATGAAGCACAAGCACCACCAGCTGAGGGCGCACCACCAGCAGAGGGCGAGGCGGCACCACCAGCCGATGGCGAGGCACCACCTGCCGATGGCGAGGCAGCACCACCCGCCGAGCCCGCCGAGCCGATCAAGCACAGCTACACCCTCTTCTATTTCAATTTGAAGGCACTCGCCGAGCCGTTGCGCTATCTGTTCGCCTATGGCGGCATCGAGTACGAGGATGTGCGCGTCACCCGTGACGAGTGGCCAGCCCTAAAGCCGAGTAAGTGGTGCAACCACAGCACTCCATGTGCCATAGACACTCGCATACAAGCTCTCATTCYTTTGCYATCATCTTAGCCATGCCCATGGGACAGATGCCGGTGCTGGAGGTGGATGGCAAGCGTGTGCATCAGAGCATCTCGATGGCTCGCTTCCTGGCCAAGACCGTCGGCCTGTGCGGCGCTACGCCCTGGGAGGATCTGCAGATTGACATTGTGGTTGACACCATCAATGACTTCCGTCTAAGTAGCGAACAATGTGTGCTTCAGTTGCATGTTCAGTGTCCTTGATTAACTCTGGAATTTTTAATGTATAGAAATTGCAGTCGTCTCGTATGAGCCCGAGGATGAGATCAAGGAGAAGAAGCTGGTCACCCTAAATGCCGAGGTCATTCCATTCTACCTGGAGAAACTGGAGCAGACCGTCAAGGACAATGACGGCCATCTGGCTTTGGGCAAGGTACCAACAGGGAGCTGTCCCTTTACCTTAGCATTAACTAATCCCGCATCTCTTCGATTAGCTCACCTGGGCCGATGTTTACTTTGCCGGCATCACCGACTACATGAACTACATGGTCAAGCGTGATCTGCTGGAGCCCTATCCAGCTCTCCGTGGCGTGGTCGAAGCCACCAACGCTCTGGAACCCATCAAGGCCTGGATTGAGAAGCGTCCTGCCACCGAGGTTTAAGCTGGACTAGCTAACATTTAAAAAAACAAATCAAATCGGCAGCAAGTGCGAAGGGGAGAATCATTGCATAGCAATAACTATAACAACAACAACAACAACAGCACGCCACACTACACATTTTATTATTATTATGAATATTATTACTTCCATCATTATTTTATCACACATTTAATTCCCTTTTAAATGGGGTTCACAGGACCT